AATTAATGAAGAAATGGATGGTCTGGTCTTGACAAAACTCATGGTAACTTTCCTTTCATAAGGAAAATACAGACAACATTATAGTTTCATGTTCTGAATATTGCTTAAAAATTATACCATGATATAATTTTATATATATTTGATAATAGATCTATACTCTTTTGATTTTTACAACATATTCAGTTAGGCTCCAATTTAATTCAAATATCACCATAGAAAGACGTAATGGACCAGAATATGTACAGACTTTACAAAATGAGTAAAATGAAAAATATGTGAGTAGGGAATAATGAAGCAATTCTGAGCAATGAGATAAACACTTCAACTGATCTTTCACATAGGGAATTCATAAAGGGGCACCAAGAACAGGTATGTGAGACTTGGTCTGGAGAGAGGCATAGGGGAGTTGCAGGGGGTAAGATATGTCCAGTAAAGGGATACCTGGCTTCTCAGACTGTAACACAATTAATGTTAGAATTGCACAATATGCTCCAAGACTACAGAAGAGTCCCCAGGGGTTGAGGCCACCCAAGGAGGCTTCAGGGAGCCCATGGACCTTGAGGAGGGCATTAAAGTCCAGGTGAAATTCCAATAGGTAGAGAGTTAAAGGAGAGGCATCCTGGATGAAAAATGCAGAAATGCTAAAAACATATTCTGGCAACAGAGAGAACCAGTTTGGCTGCACTGGAGACTTTCTGGAGCAAAAACAGAAGAATAGAATGGCATAGCCATTAAATCTAGGAAATCTAGACTTTTAGTGATGAGGATCTCTTGAAAGTTTCTAAAGAAAATCAGAAGAGAAGCAGTGCAAGTGGGATGATGGGGTAAAGATGGAGGCCAGGACAAGGAGGACAGTGAGGAGGCTGACTGATGGTTTGGCTTTGGCAACATTTACCTGCCCGAGAATGATGGCAGAAGGAAAGGCAGATGGAAAGAATTTGAATTAGGGTCAGCAGTAGTTTGACTCTTTCTTGTACTACTGTTTCTATTTATCACTTTCACTAGCTAACAATACATGCTATACATTTTACGTGATCATTCTATGAGGAACAGAAACTTGCAATAAAATAGAGATGGAGAAAGACAATATATGGTGATAACTCATGGACTTCAGCACCCCTTCCATCAATCTGTGTCCATCATTTTCAAATAGTACAGAGAAGGTCCTGGAATGTATATTCCAATATGTTATTTATTGAAAGTACAAAATTTTTGGCTCAAAATAAATTAAGTGATTCAGATCATACTTATGCATTATAGTAGAATTTTTCTTGTCCATATTTAAAAATTATTGATCATCTTGTTTCGACAATGTCTTTGAAGAGAAAGTACAGCTGGATCAAGTCAAAATTGGTCAACAATTTAAAAAAAAAAAAAATCTCTTAGCCAGACCATCATGGCATTTTGCAATGACACTGGGGAAGACACTGAGGAGAACACTTCTTGTTCTCATCATGACTGTACCCAAATTTCTAATTATAGTCATAGAAAAAAATAATACTTGGAAGTAGAATCTGTTTTTAGCCAAATTGGAAGAAGATGAGTAGAAACAGTGATGACTAAGAAACCAAACTAATAATTTGGTACTACCTTTGTATCTGCATTCACACGGCTCCTGCTTCAATTTCCTTTCAGGTCACTTACCTTTTTTCTTGCTTCTGTTTCTTTTTAATTTTTCTACATCACACTGTTTTTATCATGCCTTATTCTCCAAGAAGAGTTAGTTACCTTTTATCATTTTCAGACTTTATAGTAAACTCAAAATCTAATAAAGCAGATCAAGTACCAAGATTATATATCTGTCTTCATCCTACAGCCAATATTAGTGCTTCCAAATATAAAAAAAAAACCACATTAATCCAACAACTTTTTATAGTATAGTAGATAAATGTCTGTCTGACCTACTAAGTCATTCCTAAAAATGAAAGACAGTAGCACAACCGCAATTAAAAACAAGATTTTGATTACTTCTTTTCAACATAGGATTTACCCCCTGGTTTTTGTGCTTCACGCTTAGAGCGATGAATAGAATTTGTGATTTTTTTTAATGTCATGCTTTGACACTCCAAATTCTTCATTTACATCTCTCTTAATATGATTACATTAAAAAAGAAGAAAATTCATGCAAAAAATTTACAGAAATCTTCCTAAATCATTGACATAGCAAAATTCCATGTTATTCTGAAGGTGAGTTGAGTTACTACCTCACTTGCAAAGTGATGAAAGCTTAGCTATGCTGTATCTCTTCATGATTATGTAATTATTAATCTCAATTTACAGAATAAAAAATAAGGAATAAAAGGAGGTAATATTGAATATTATCCAAAAGAGCCACCTACTAAATTAATTATAAACATAAAAGTAAAAATTAACAATTTTCTAATTCCCCTTAGACAGAGCCTCTCAGATATCCATAGAACCTTAGGTCACTTCTATTTTTTGAGGTTCCAAATATATTTTTAAAAATCCAAAACAGGATTACTAAATTGTAGTACATTTTTAATCTTCTCATTTAACAAAATAACACCTTAACATACGTACAATACAAATGACTTTATGAATAACCTCATTTGATGATAACTTTTAAAAATCTAAATTTGGGGCCCTCCTGAATACGAGGCCCCAAAAGACTTCCCTGCTCAGGCCCCCGGGAGAGGCCCTGCTTTTCTGTTCTAAAAACTTTCCTGACCGAGGGAAATGCAATGACCTACACGTGCTGAGGACATGGCTTTTAGTTGATGGCATCCCCCTCTCTTTAGCCCAGCCTAAACCACCTTTACAATTATACAATGGAGCATTTTGGAAATGTTTGAATAGTCAACCACTATGTTGCAAAATTAGCAAACAAGTTTGGTGCAGGTTGACAAATTTACTGACTTTACCACAGACCTAAATAGAAAATTCTTTTAGTCTCAGCTGATGGTGGTGGTGGGGGGCGGGGGAACAGGAGACTGCTCATGTTGATGATATTTTGTTCTCTGACTTTTCCCCTTTCAAGAAATTCAAATCCTTCTGGTCAATTTCATGTCCTGATCCCTCATTGAAACGACGCAGAGAAAA